GTTCTTGAACCGTAAACCCTAATAGATGGGGCAATATGAGCCCTAGTCCCTTACTAAGCCTTGGATACAAGTCTAGATCACTTCCTTGTGGAGTATAGGACCTTAAACAAACAAAAGAACCAAGTGCACATGAGTTTACGGCCGTAAACTCATGAGGAATGGTCCATGGGCCGTAAACTCTAAAAGGTAGTGCAATGGTGCCACAATTACTTCCTAAGGCTTAGACTTGAAGTAAGGATACTTCTTTGTGACTTATAAGACCTCAAAACACAAAATGGTAGAAGTTACCATGGGTTTACGGCCGTAAACCCATTGGGACCGTAAACCCAAAACCGTAAACTCATGAAGAGTTTACCCTTGGACCATAAACTCAAAAGCAAAGCCCTACAACACTTAGATGCAACCCTTTGGTACTACTAGCACTTGAATCAAAGTGTTAGCCATGTTTTAGGGTGTCTTTAATTGATTAATTAGTTGTTAATTAACTAATTGGATACATATATGTGTTATTATATGTTAATTAGGATCCTTGTGTGTGCTCAAGTCTTCACTTGACACTTAGCATCCTATACCATCCGTTCATCCAAACCACTCACTACAGGTGAGTTCATACCCCTTAATCAACCTTTTAAATAATTTTAAATGCTTTTATGGGGGGTAATACAAGTTGAACTATTATAGTTATTATATCAATCACATGTGATTAATAACTATCAAACTAGGAATTTACTACACTTTTAGTTGTTTTACCAAGCAAACTACTTCAAAATGATTTCTCAAACGCTTTTACAAGTTAAACTCTCTATCAAACTTGTTTTCTAAACTGCACCTTTCCTTTCAAATTTTTTACAAAACTTCTTTTAAACTTTTATATTGTCAAATGCATGCCTATATATGTATATTTATATAAGTAATGTTTAAAGGACTTAGGACTGCTAACTCGCTTTAATTCATTTTCCTTGTTTGGATGTGGCCTTAGGGTATCAGTTATTTGTCCGAATGTCTTCTAACTATTAGTTATATATTATGTATACATATATAGACATAAAAGTTCTATCAGTCAGTTCAGTACCTTTGGGTAGCAAGGGCATACTTTCATTCGTTCATACATACAAACAACATTACTAGTAAACTATAATAGGTATAGTTTAGGAAGTTACTAATACTATTACTAGAACAACGAAACATACAATGAGTCAGTTCATACATGAGTCAACACATACTATTATGAGAAACAGAGAGAACATACTTACATACTAGACAGAGAGAGAACATACAATACAGCTAGTACATACTATACAGTATACAAGAGAACATACTATTATGAGAAACAGAGAGAACATACTTACATACTAGACAGAGAGAGAACATATAATACAGCTAGTACATACTATACATTATACAAGAGAACATACTATTATGAGAAACAGAGAGAACATACATACATACTAGATAGAGAGAGAACATACAATACAGCTAGTACACACAATACAAATACAAGAACACTACTACAGTTATGTGAGCCACGTAACGGGGCATGTCATCACCTGTCATGGCTCGTTTTGTATCCAGAATCTCCTTAAATGGAGAGCGTTGAGTTTGTGTATAGATCTATACTGGATTGACTATCCTACACCTTGCTGCTAGCTACAGTGGGACTTGCAAGTCTACGGGTGCCAAACGTCATTCCTTCCTACGTCTTTCATCGTCGTGTTTCTAAGTCGGTAGTATGGTACAGGCATATCACATGGTACTTTAAATAACAATTGGTTTAAGGTAGTTAGTACAGCAGTAGTTACTTAATACAACACTACAGTACTATTTTATTTCCCATTGCATTCACTTTGTGATCTTCACACAATGAATAGTAATGTAAAAACTATATTTTTGGTTAATGATAGTCAGATTTGGGAAAATACATACTCTTACAAGAGACACACACACAAACACTTGATGCCTTGGTAGAAGGCTACTTTTAGTAGAAAAAGATAGGGTTTTCTAGGAGATTCAAACATTTTACAAACATTTACAAACATTTACAAACTTACACATCGCATACTTACAAACACTTTCATACAAACAATGACACTAAAATACTTATGATCTCACCAGCTTTAATGCTGATAAACTCTTTCAAAAAAACTTGTATTCTCAGGTCACCAGTAGACAGGTACCGATGCCAGGTTTTGAGAAGATGGAGCTCGTTCAAGACTCATCTTTTATTTTGATTCATATTTTTAGTGTCTATTATACTTGACAGAACACACTTGTATTAAAATTATATTATTAATGCAATGGATGATGTTGTTGCTTGTTTACTACTATGCATTGTTGTGATACTGTACACGACGTCCTCCGCCCCCGAACGATTCCGCCGTTCCGGTTTTGGGGTGTGACAGATGATCAGTGATATAGATCATGAGTTGAGAGTGAGTGGTGAAATATGAGAAAAGCCATACCCAAATGTTGGCGTGAGTGGTGCAATATGAGAAAAGCCCTTACCCAAATGTTGGCCCCCGTCATTCAGCAGAGTATGGATGACAACCATGAACTATTCTAGACGGTCTGTGGAACACTAGCAGGCTTGCAACCTGTAAGTGGATGAACTATATGTTCATCAGCTGTACTCTAAAAACCCATTGACATGTATTGCGGGGGAGGGGGGGGGAACTCCCGTGGGAAATATCGTCAATGAATAAGAGCTATGGACTTAGCATATGGAAAACCCATTGACATGTATTGCGCGGGGGGGGGGGGGGGGGGGGGGAACTCCCGTGGGAAATACCGTTAATGAATAAGAGCTATGGACTTAGCATATGGAAATCCCATTGACATGTATTGCGGGGGGGGGGGGGGGGGGGGGGAACTCCCGTGGGAAATACCGTCGATGAATAAGAGCTATGGGCTTAGCACATGGCGACGATGTGACTTCGTGCCTATTTGACAGAAATTGCTGAAGGAAAGCAATGTTGTCACCCCGATGTTTGTCTTATTTGACATATATTGCAGAGGGAAGCAATGTTGTCACTTTATAGGTTGTTTTATGTTAGGATGTCTTGTTTGACATAAATTGTTGAGGAAAGCAATGTTGTCACCCCTTGTGAAAATCCTTAGGCTAGGTCCCTTGTGATAGTTGTTTTAGGGACGTAAAGTGAGGATAATGGGAATGTAAGTAATTAGGGTTATTTTGGTTGATAAAATTAATAAATTTATTGTTGATTGAGAACTTAATAAGTTTATTATTTATTGTGGGTTGAAAACCCTATATGCTCACCAGGCTTCCAAGCCTGATCCGCTCAGTTTAATTGTATCACAGGTATCGATACGAAGTTGCTTTACACTGAGAGATTAAAAGAGAAGTAAATCACTAGTGTAAATGAATGTAAGTTTTGTTTATGCTTATGTTTTTGTATTGACATTGACATCCCAATGGTTTAAGTGAATAAAATACATTTCTTCGGAAATCTTGGTAACATATTATTATGTTTTCTGGGAACAAATTCCGCAACACTTTTAATCAAATGATTACTCTGAAATTATTTTAAAAGCATAAATTAAATCGGTCTTTTCTGGCCGTGAAATTGGGGATGTCACAGTGCACATGTTTGATTGGTGGTTGAGGCTCATCTGCTTTGTGCGAGAGCCAATAGACCTGTGCATTCCAATCCGATGGTTGTGGGCCGTTAGTATTCCATCCCGAGGATGACTGGACTCGCAGTATGAGGGCATTCCAACCCGATGGTTGTGGGCCTGGGGTATTCCATCCCGAGGATGACTGGACCTACAGTATATTGGCATTCCAACCCGATGGTTGAGGGCCTGGGGTATTCCAACCCGATGGTTGATTGGACCCATAATATGTTGTTTGTGTTATATGTATGTTGATGTGTGTATGGGTTTTTTGGGGGAACTCACTAAGCTTCGGGCTTACAGTTGATGATTTTGTTTCAGGTACTTCTGATGATCGCGGGAAGACGAAGACATGATCGTACACCTCCTGTTGTTTATGATTTGATTCTGGAATATTTTGACACTGAACTATTTTGGAAACAACTTTTGCAATAATCAATGGTTTTGGAATATTTTTAAAAGTTTAAATTTGGCATGATTTTTATGGATGTTACACTAAATATTTGAGAACATTGAATTTATAAGAAAATAAGAAAAATAATGAATTATTATAATGGAAATGTTTTTTATATTTTAAATTTAAACAAATAATTTAAATAAATAAACAAAAGAAACTAATAAACTTTAATTTTGGGAATGTTCAAATTAAAAGGTAAGTTCATTAATGAAATTGATATCCATTTATTACAATTATTACATTAAAATATTATGTAAAATTTAATAAAATAGAAAAAAAAATCATAAAATGACACGTGAAAACAAAATTAATCCAAAATAACCACAAAATGACATTTGTCAAATTGAATGAGAGTGTGACAAGTGACAAAAAAAAAACTCCATTTATTTATGACAAATTGCAAAAATGGTCCTTGTGGTATGCATTTTTTTAGGTTTAGTCAAAACATCGACTTTTTTGGTTTCATTGTCATTTTGGCCTAGTTTGTACGTAGAATTTCCGTTAAGTTGTTGCTGTTAACTCCCTCATGTGCCTCCCACATGAGGGTATATTTGTCTTTTCACTTTTAAAGGACCATTTTTGCACCTGAAAAAAATATATCCCATTTTTAAAAAAAAAATTAATACCTATTTATTTATTTTAATAATTAAAAAATAAAAAAGGTCTCTCTCTCTCTCTCTCTCTCTCTCTGGTTTTAATACCAAGAAGACACATCATCTTCATCAAAACCCACCATCAGATCCTCATCATCGTTCTTCCTTCCAGCTACCACAAATCAACCACCAAAAAATACAACCAGCACCGCCCCTATTATAGTCCCCATCTTCTTCTTCTTCTTCTTCTTCCCTTTCCGTTTCTCTTTTATTTTAAAGAAACCCAAATTTTGGGGACACTCCAAACCTCTTGTCTGTCGATGATGAGGAAGCAAAGTAAGACTAGGTATGAGATATTAAGAGTCCTTATGAAGGAGGCAGGTGTCCAATTGGTTCACCTGCTCCGCCTACTCCACCCCCAAAACCATCTTCAACAGGTTCTAATTCCACCCAAAACCATCTTCAACAGGTTCTAATTCCAGGAGATTCGGTAATTCTTTCGCTTTACGAATTGGTTCATCTAGAAGAGCCACCACTTGGCTAGTTGTTTCCACCGAATCAAGAAAAAATGTGTGGGTCGTGATTGGAAATTGATGGGTACGTTTTCAAATGCTATCTCAAAGTAGATTTGTTGATCAATCACATTTGCATCCCTTGATGAACAAAAAAATAAAATAAAAAAGAACAAGTACTAAATTTGAATCATAAAATAAAACAAGAACAAGTGAACTAGAAGAAAACTTTTACAACCAAACACCACCTATCCACAATACATAGAGTTAAAGCCACTTTATTTGCAGAAATCGAGCCATCCATTTACAAGCAATTGATCTTACCCAAATCTACAATCGGAATACACAGCGAGTGTGTGTGATTGAGAATCCAAAATGAGGGTCTTTCTTCTTCCCTTCTGTTACAACTATTAGTCACTTCCTCCTCCATTAAACCAGGCCGCTTTTCCCTGAAAACCTCCATTACAGACGACCCATAAGCTTTTCTTTCCTCATGGAACATCTCCACCAGCCATTGCCCCTGGTCTAACCTAATTCGAGAGAAAAGAAAGCAAAATTCCAAGGGTAGGAGATGGGTACGTGGCAACGAACTCGATTGTGTTCATAGTAACAGTTTCATAGAGAGCTTGACTGGGTTTAAGATTCAAACTCAACAAGAAACCACACGAATGTCTCTTAGGAGCTGATGATGGGTCTGTGATGGCGAGATGAATACCATGGTTGAAAATGGTGGTTGAAAGGCGGTGTATGGCAGTGGTTTGTGTGATATGCTTGAAAGATGAAGACGTTGGAGATGATGAAAATGGACTTGAAGGTTTTTGGCAGAGAAATGGTGTGTAATGTGTGTGTTTCTTCAGGTTTACCACAAAACGAGAGAGAGAGAGAGAGAGAGAGAGAGAGAGAGAGAGGAAACCTCTTTTATTATTTAATTATTAAAATAAATAAATAGATATTAATTTTTTTTTAAAAAAAAAAGGAATATATTGTTTTCAGGTGCAAAAATGATCCCTAAAAGGTGAAAAGACAAATTTACCCTCATGTGGGAGGTACACGAGAGGGTTAACAACAACAACTTAACGAAAGTTAAGTCGGATGACCATTTCCACGTACAAACAAGACCAAAAGAACCACGGAACAAAAAAAGTCGAAACAAGTTTTGCAGTTTTGTGTTTATTTATTTATTAGAGGAGATATTACATTTTGCAGTTTTGTCTTTATTTATTTATAAGAGGAGATATTACATTAATACCCCAAAACCTATACCTCGTTCACAGCTCCCCGCGTTCAAAGCTGCCTCCACACTTCTTCACCACCGACCCTTCTCCGTTCTACGCCTACAGACCTCCGATCAACGGCGTACCAGCTATAGTCTCGTCTTCTCCGATCTCCCGGTAAGTCATTTTTTTTTCTGGTTCGGTACAAGTGTATGCTTGTCTGATTCAATGAAGCAGCTGCACTTAGTTGTTCGATTAGTGTCTAATTAGTGTTTGAAGCACATCAATTAATCTGAATCCTTACTGAATTCCTGGTCTGGTATGTAATTCCTGTCAAGATTTGTTTTTTTGTCTGAAATTGTGTCAAGATTGATGTTATTGATTGTATGCATGCAGAGCTTCAGACCTTGTATGTGCTTGTTGTTACATACCTTATGTATGATTAATGTGGTGTAATCTGTGTGCTTTATGTTGACAATAGAAGATCCAAAATTGGTATGTGATAATGATTTCTGTGTGGTTGTTGTGTAGGATTTCTGTGTTAATATCTATGTGGATTTATGACAATCTGTTGCAAGGTTTCTGGTGAACTAGATCAATTAAGATGATATTTTGAAGAAAAGTGGTAAATAGATGCTGATAAAAATACAATCTTGATCCATTAATTTAGTGCCTTTGTTTCAGGGTGATCCGGGAAGGGACCAATCCAAATGGTGCTGAGCATCTATTAGATTAGATTAGATTATTATTTAGTAGCTGAGAAGAAGTAATAAGTAATAAAGTTGGTATATGATTATTGAAAGTGAAGCTGAGTACATTTGGAATAATAGAAATTCTTTCTTCTGATTCCAAAAGCCAAAAGCCAAAAGAAGTTAAAAGCATAAATGAAGTACGTGTTGGTCACTGGAGGGGTGGTAAGTGGTCTCGGTAAGGGCGTCACCGCCAGTAGCATTGGTGTCGTTCTCAAGGCTTGTGGCCTTCGCGTAACCTCCATCAAAATTGGTATGTGTTTGTTGCTTTTGCTTTAATTGAATAAATTAGTGCTTTTGTTGAATTTGTTAGATTATCCATAATAATTTTGTACCTATATATATATATATATATATATATATATATATATATATATATATATATCGGAAGTGTAGATGGTACCTAGGCTATGTGTTTAATCAAATTGCATTCTTGTTCGTTTGCTAATTTTATATACACACCACATACCTCCTACTTTTGTTTGGTGAGTGGCTTACAGGTCGAGTTGATGTGTGAATTTAAGTAGTTTAGTTGATTGCAGATCCATACTTGAACACCGATGCTGGTACAATGTCTCCCTTTGAACACGGGGAGGTTTTTGTTCTTGACGATGGTGGAGAGGTGCTACTTGCTCTCACTAGCTTTAAAAATATTGATTATGATGATGATGATGATGATATTAATCTTTCCATATGCTATTTTGATAGGTCGACCTGGATTTGGGTAACTATGAACGCTTCTTAGACGTGAGGCTTACTAGAGATAACAACATAACCACTGGAAAGATCTATCAGGTACCATTACCATTTACCAAAATTTGTGCTGTATCATTTCTATACTCTACCAGATTCATTCAGTAATTTGTTCTCATTTTGCCAGTCTGTTCTTGAGAAGGAACGAAAAGGAGATTATCTTGGAAAGACTGTTCAGGTTTGCATCATAAATCATAAATCATAAATCATAAATTGAGTTGTATTTGTCTTCAAATCAATACTACTACTTATGCTTTTTGTTTTTAGGTAGTCCCACACATAACGGATGCCATTAAGGATTGGATTGAGTCGGTTTCTGCTATTCCCGTGGATGGAAAAGTGGGCCCGGCAGATGTCTGTGTGATAGAATTAGGAGGGACAGTTGGTACACTACTTACTTCTCTCTACTCATGATGAAATTATTTTTCTCAAAACTACTTTAGTGATTATATATAAAACAATACCTCCCTCTGTAGGTGACATCGAGTCTATGCCCTTCATAGAGGCGTTGAGGCAACTATTTTTCTCTACGGGTAAGTTTACCATTACCATACAATGCATCAAAAGAGTTAATGCACAGCATAATTGATTCTGCTTTTCTTCTTTCTTCAGGACCAGATAATTTCTGCCTCATTCATGTTAGCCTTGTACCAGTTCTTGGTGTTGTTGGGGAACAGGTAATGAATATGCTACTCTACTATTGATGTTTGAACTTTGAAGAAAGAAATATAGTTTATGATCATAAGATTGTTTTTTTCTTCAGAAAACTAAGCCTACACAGCACAGTGTTCGGGAACTGCGAGCTTTAGGCCTGACCCCTCACTTTTTAGCATGCCGTTCAGCTCAGGTAATGATTTATGAATGGGGTGTGTTGTGGTGGTTAAGAGTTAAGACTTAAGCAATCAAAGTATTATTGGTTGACCTTGCAGCCATTGTTGGAAAACACAAAGCAGAAACTCTCACAATTTTGTCATGTACCTGTAAGTTTCTGGTTAATAGTACACTCTATCTATAGCTTTGTGCTGTTCATTTCTGATTGATTGATTGTCAACAAACAGGCTGCCAACATTCTTAATATACATGATGTTCCAAACATTTGGCATGTTCCTCTTTTACTTCGGGTGCGTGGATGTTTGTATTCCTTTGAGAATTGAGATAGATAGATATATATTTCTCATCATCTCTAAATTTTCCCAGAACCAAAATGCTCATGAGGCAATCCTAAAACAGCTAGCACTACTGCGGTGAGCACATATATTTATTGTCATTGTCAGTAGTATGTGTATGATAATATTTATTGTCTCTCTGCTTCAGTGTAGCAAGACCTCCAAATTTACAAGAGTGGACTAACAGGGCAGAAACTTTTGACAACCTCACCAATTCTGTTAGTATCATTTTCCTCCTTTACTACTTACTTAAGTTAAGAGTCCTACTTGCTTGTCTGGAAGAAGATTAATTTTCGTGTTGCAGGTGAAGATTGCAATGGTTGGGAAATATGTTGGCCTAACAGACTCCTATTTGTCTGTTGTTAAGGTACAGTTAGAGAGAGTTATAGTTTTGCAATAACATTACAGTATGTTTTAGACTTTTAGTTTTACTAAACTTGAACTTGAACTTGAACTTGAAATCAAGTGCAGGCCCTTCTCCATGCATGCATTGCATGTTCGTTGAAACCCTCCATTGAATGGATTGCAGCTTCTGATTTAGAAGATGAAAGTGCCAGACTGGTATGGCTATGGCCCCTAGATACAAATAATATATCATATTCAAGTATTTACATATATATATGTGTGTGTGCAGACACCAGAAGCACATGCAAAGGCCTGGGAGACATTGAGGGTAAGTTTCATGAATATTTGTTATGATTTGGTGATTTGGTGAAAGGAAGGTAATTGTTAAAATATGTTTAGAGTGCGGCATGTGTTTTGGTTCCTGGTGGATTTGGAGATCGTGGTGTGAAGGGAATGATACTGGCTGCCAAGTATGCGCGTGAGAATAAAGTTCCATATCTTGGCATCTGCTTAGGCATGCAGATATCTGTTATCGAGATCTCCAGATCTGTAAGCTGTTTTCTTTCTTTCTCTATAAATATTTATTATGGATTAACTTTTGATCCCTCAGGTCTTAAACCTCTCGATGGTTTTTTTAGTTGTAAAATCATCTGATTCCCGTGATTAAATAGCTTGTTAAATTCAGTAAATTATTTTTTTGTTCTTTATTGTAATGTTGAAATATTACATTTCCAGATCTTGGGCTGGAAAGAGGCAAATAGTACTGAATTTGATGAGCATGCAACCAATCCTGTTGTAATTTTCATGCCAGAGGTATTTTTGGAAATTTATTTTGTATATGGAATAGGAATACCAGCATATTTTTATGCATATATTTACATTCAGGGTTCAAGAACACATATGGGAAACACGATGAGACTTGGCTCTCGAAGAACCTTACTGCAGAGCTCAGATTGTATCACTGCAAAACTGTAGGAGATTGATTCTCAAATTCACATATAAATAAACAACACACCATGAAGCCAAGCCACTTACAAAAAATTTATTATTGACAGGTATCAGAATGCAGAGTATGTGGACGAGCGACATCGGCATCGTTATGAGGTCAATCCTGAGGTGGTTGGGGATTTGGAAAAAACAGGCTTAAGATTTGTTGGGAAGGATGAAAGCGGACAGCGAATGGAGGTTTCTTTTTCAAATTTATTTTATTCTCTCTCTCTCTCTCTCTCTCTCTCTCTATATATATATATATATATATATATATATATATATATATATATATATATATTGGATCTGAATCTCATGTTTTCTTTTTTATTTCATCCAGATTTTGGAACTTCCAAGCCATCCATTCTATGTCGGGGTACAGTTTCATCCCGAATATAAATCCCGGCCTGGAAAGCCTTCAGCCCTGTTTTTAGGTATCTATCAGAATTCAAAATCAAACACAACAACTAGGAATATGATTTATTTTATGTTGATACCCTATCCATATGGGGCTGAAATTATATTTTCACCGCAGGTCTTGTATTAGCAGCAACAGGCCACTTGGAAGCATATGTCAAGACACATCAGAATGGATCTGTTTAAGTATTTATTACAGGTACTAAATCTTTTAAACAAGTAACACGTATTTTCAATTACTCTTCCTATTTCACCACACTTATATATATATATATATATATATATATATATATATATATATATATATCCAATTTTGTTTTAAAATAATACAAATGAATCGAGTCAAATTATGAAATGATAAAGATCAATTATATAAATTTTTAATGGCAAAAATCCATTCAAGTTTCTAGGGAAATTAAAAAAGAATATATTTTCAACGAATATAAATCAATACCTTTTGTCCTTTGATAGAAAAACTTGAAAACAATGATCGAGTGATTTGTATCTTCTTTTTTACTTCTATTCTATTATTTTCCATTTAAAAATTTGCTAGTCTTTAGTAGTTGGTCATGGCTTCGATGCTTTAGGTTCATAGACACAATGACGAAAAAGAACACATTCAATCGCTTTTTGTAGGTACGTGAGTTTAGGAAGAACATTAACCAAAAGATCATGATTAGGTTGGATATATTTGAATAACAAATATGTATTTTGTGGAGGGTTCTATATATATATATATATATATATATTATATATATATATATATATATATATATGATTTTTTTTAATAATTTTTTATTATATGTAATAATCACAAGTAGTTAAGTTATTTACATGTGATTAAATCCTGTTATTCTTATGTTATTCTTATATGATTAAGTTATTCACATACTCTATATGAATAAACCTTGTTCTCGCGTCTTGATTTCATGCATGTTCATGTTCGAAACTTAGGGAATCTTTTAACTTTTGGTGACGTTGGACAAGATACATGGCCTGGTGCAGCAAATATTTTGAATTGGCATCAACATGTTTGTTGGTTATTGCACAAACTTGCCTTGGTTTGCAGGCCTTTTAGTTTGTTTCAAATCTAGGAGCAGGGGATAAGTTGTTTGCTTGGCCTCCTACTTTTTGTAGGGACAAATTTGTTTCATATATTTGCAATATGGTTACTATAAGTGATCTATGGTGCTTTGTGTTTTTGATGTAATGGGTTCAATGATTTATTTGTTGAATCATATCATACTATTGGTTTGTTTAGGACTTAATGGTTAGGTTGCATTATCTCAACCCTAATTTATTAGATAATGTTCATTGCA